AGCAGCCTCACAGCCAGGTATTACTGTGTAACCACTTGCCTGGGTTAAGAGCCTGCTACTAGGCAGCTTTGACTGCTCTGAAGCCATAGAGCAGGGTATTTAACATCCAACTCCTAAGACTAAGCCAGTGCTCTGAATCTTTACAGTCTTTCATCACTGTGTCCTTCTGGTTGCCTCCTCCCAAAAGTTCTTCATCTCTATCTCTAAAAATCTGGCCCATCCCTCAGGACCCCTCCTCAGGCCCCAGGGGATTATGCCAAAGGCACCTAAATCTGAGGGACTGAGAGCAGAAACTGAACCCAGGAGCAGGGAGGAAGGTGCTCCTCCCCTTGACTCTTCCTCTCCACTTCCTTAGGGCTCTAGGTCATAATGGAAGCCAAAGCCTCCAAGGAACTTCCCCTCCCCCATCAGCATGACCCAGTGTGTTCCTAAGGTTGTGCCTAAGGGCTCCTTGAAATCACATCTGCCAGAAGGTGGGGCCCTTGGAGACCTGCATTTGCTACTCATCCCTCAAGGCACTCCAGTGCAGGGGCTCAAAACTTCAATGTGAGGTAATAAATAAATAAATAAATAAATAAATAAATAAATAAAAATAAATAAAATTATATATAAGGTAACTATATATTTATATATATGAATTATATATATTCATATATAAGGTAATATGTATTTACATATGTGATGTATATATATATTTATAATTAAGAGGCAAATATATATTTATATAAAGGAGGTAAATATTTATATTTACATCTATATGAGGTAAACATACACATTTATATATATAAGGTAAATATATATTTATAAATGGTAAATATATACAAATGACATATATATTTTTTTATATATGAGGTATATATATATTTATAAACTGGGTAAATATATATATATTTTTATATATCAAGTAAATATATATTTATATATTATGATATAAATAGATATATTGATACATGAGGTAAATTTATGTATACTTATATATATGAGGTAAATAAACATATATTTATATATGAAGTAAATGTATATTTATATACATGAGGTAAATATATATATTTTTTATCTATCAGGTAAATATATATATTTTTATATACATGAGGTAAAGATATATATTTTTATATATATGAGGTATATATATTTCCATATATTTATATATTTGAGGTAATATATATTTATATATGGTAAATATATACACATGAGTTAAATATATATACATTTCTATACATGAGGTAATATATAATTATAGTTATGTATGAGGTAAATATATAAAATATATATGACATAAATGTATATATATATTTACACATGTGGTATATATATTTACATTTGTATACACAATGTAAATATATATATTTATATATATGAGGTAAATATATATATTTATATATGAGATAAATATTTGTATATTTATATGCCGAGGTAAATATATATATATTTTTATATATGAGGTAAATATGTATATTTTATGAGGTAAATATATATATATGTTTTTATATGAGGTAAATATATATATATATTTTGTTTGTTTTTTGTTTTAATTTTTTAATGTTTGTTTATTTATTTATTTTTAAATATGAAATTTATTGTCAAAT